GTTGTTTGGTCTTCTTCGGCTAGATATGAGGAGAGTGCCGTTTGGTTGTTAGTTTTCATAAGATCAATGCGCCGGCCAAGGTTAAATGCATCATGAGGAGGCCCAGGTGCCCTGTTGCTCGAAAGAACAGTGGCCTTGCGGGTTGCATCTTCGTGGCCAAGAGCATCGTTCTTGTCTAATATGTGAAGCCTGATTTTCCCGAGAGCCTTCTCATACCGGGAAAACTGATTAAGGTAGTACCACCGCATAGTGTTCATGTATGCGAGGGCGATCTCATTTGCGAGAGTCGGATGATGTTTGTGTAGGAATGTGTAAAGATCCTTGTATCGAAGGAAACTTTGTTGCTGAATAATCTGGGCATTGATATGCGGTGATCGCAGTGCTTTGATCTGAGCCACGATGAAGTCTCGTATGCGCTCGATTGCCTGGAGAGTTAGTTGAGGTTCTGGCAGTAGCAAAGCAGAGTGCACATACCTTGAAAGTGAGCTTGTCAAGAATCGGTTCGAGATCCTTTGCCGCATTACTAGTTTGAGTTTCGGACTTCTTTTTGAATAGGGTCGACCTGCGATCCAGTTCGGCGAGCATCTTGGCCCACGTCTCATCGATGTGCCCCTCAGAGATCTTAGAGATAACTTCAGGTGATAAGCTTAGCTCTTCCACCAGAGGCCACAGTGCCTTCTCAACTTGTTTCCGGCTTTCCAATCTCCTATTCAAGGCTGTCGATCGGGTTTGCAAAGACTCGATGTCTGCGGACACCATGGCAAGGTCGTTACGGAAATTAGCAAGGTTGATCTCAACTGAATTGAGTACGTCGTCACATGCTTCTATCGACCGGTGAAGATCTTCTAGTTTGGTTCTATCATTCTCGCCTGTGATACGTTAACTATAAGGGTCAAAAGGGTATATGTTGCGATAAACGAACTCTCTTCTACCGTTTTTGGCTTGCGGTTGCTGACTATGGTTGCATCAGGAGGTTCGGACGTGGCAAGCTCCTTTAATGACAATCCCCCAAACACAGCCGCGAAGTTGATATCGTCCTCAACAATGGCAGTTTTCTTGTCGGCTTGTTCACGGTCACTCGAAAAGCCTGCTAGCAAAGTCTCTAGCACCCCCAAAGAATCAGGTCCTGTGTCTATTGTTGAGGCCTGCCTCAAGTTGGAACCATTAGGCCTCCGCGAAGACGAAAGGAGTGAGGCGGTGGAATCATTGGAAATGAGGGATAGCGAGGAGCCTCGTGGAGCAATCCCAGGGCGCTGAGATGTGACATATGGGCTCAGAGTGCTCGAGGTTCTTTTGGGATATACTCTGCCACCGGGTTGAGGCGTAGAGGGTCCAGGACTGCTGGCCGGCCCTCCCGCCAGTCGATCGAGCCACATGCCGGGAGACGTGGACAGTAGCAGAATTCGGTAGATGAAGATTAATGCGCGGATTCAAGAGCCGTGGGCAATATCATGGTAGTAGTTGTCGAAGTCGAATGCGTTGGTGGATAATGATTCTCAAGCTATCAGTGAAGCTGAGCTGGGCGCAAAAGGGTCAGCTTGGCCAGCTTGCAACGCGAGGCTGTTGATAGCCATGAAATTGAAGGTGTCGAGTGAAAGCTGATTGGACACTTCAATCTGGGGATACTTCAACTCCAGCCTTGTGTGGCTGTGTGGGGCTCACTCCCATTTTGGCAAAGACACAGAATCTTGGCCAGTCGATAGATACTTGGTGGGTTGGATGCAAACCCACCCGGCCACATCGAAACTACAATCGCCCCAAGAAGATGCATAACCGGAAGACTATAACAACACAGTAGTCTGGTGATTCGTCCTTATGGTTAGCAGCACGAACCAGGGCCTACTGATCGTCGGCTCTCAGGTCCCCTTATTCTGAAATCGGAAATCGTCCTCGAAGCGCCACAATAGAGCAAACAGTGGAAGAATGGATAAAGTTGCAGCTTGTAGGCTGATACTTTGGTGTGGCTTGCATAGGTAGTCACCTGCGACCTACCTACGCTGTAGAGACTAAGGTACCCTTAGCTAGAGGAGGAAAGAAAACTTAGGACCCCGATCCTAATTGATAATGAGATTTAGGTGATATGGCCTAAGCTTAGGATAGCTTTTGTAGAATTTATTTTAACACCCTATCTCAAGGTCCGTTATTTTCTTGCCCCCAGAGGCTTAGCAATCTAGGCAATCTACCCGCCGATATAAAATGTGATTGCGTTTACTGTGCGACACTGCGATCGATGTCCATCCATGCCTTGCCCCATGCTTGCAAGGTGCTTGCAGTTCACCAAGACGATTTTGCTGGGACACCAGGTCTTGGGCACCAATGGCCACCTCAGGCTTGAGAGGGGAACCTGGAAGCAAGCCCCCAAAACTAAAAAAACATAGGATGGATTGCTCCCCGCGTGAGCAGTCGGCTTTCAGCCATTGAGTCCTGAAATTAGCATCAATGACCCCCTGCAGTCTTTGACACCTTGACGCAGTGATGGCTTGGGAATATGCGTGTCAGGTTGCTTCTTGGAATCTCTAGAGTGCTCTCATGACCTGCAGACCACCTCATTTTGAGTTCTGTTCGTTGACAGAGGTTGGGAGTTCAGTCTCAAATTGAATATTCGACCCAGGAAAAAAATCAATTCTGGCACGTGAATGGTCAGAGCAATGTTTACTCTGTCTTATTGACCCCGCCACCTCGACCTTTGCTGAGATGACCGATCGTCAAGGCGGTAACCTAAAGCTGCCATCAATTAACACTTCCTGGTGGCTTCCCGCTCCACCCCGCTCAGCCTTTCCAGCGGAACAGATGCCCTCGAGGCCCTGTAAGCAATAACCCCTCCACTGGTGTCCGTACAGTAGAACACAGTTCTGCGAGAGGAGGGGTCGAGTAGCTCACTGGCGAGGGGTGTTGTCGAGGGTCCATCTCGATGGACTGCCCCCCCCCTCGGCCACCGGAAAAAGGACAAAGGTTGGACGCCTTGAGTGCTTACAGGCTTCACGAGAGCTAAAACTGCCTGTGCTCTTCTTAATTTCTACCATGTGCTAGCTGGGCAAGATGGGCTACCATATCCACCGGCAGCGTCCGTCCATCCACAGGACCTAAGTAAAAACTACAGCCTGAAAATAGTGTCCACTGCTACGCCCTTTTACACCAATCAAAGACTTTAGAAAAAAACTTGTCGAGGGCCTCGCACCTTTTTCTTTGCCCCCTCCATCTCTTTTTCCTGAGTTTGGCCCTCTCCTCCTTCTTCTCTTCTCCATCCCACTATTAAGCACCACTCTCAGCTTTTTTTCCCCTACTCTCCTCCTCAACCTCACTCCTTTCTCCCCAAAGAACTCGACTTCTTGTCAATACCGTCAAAATGGCCGCCCCTAACGATGCTGAGGTGAGTTCACTTGCTCCTGCTGCTGCCTCTGTCGAGTCCCAGGCGCACGCGCCCACGAAATCTGCCCTTGCGCCCATTTTCGCCTGGAGATTGACACCCCGCATTGTGACCTATGCCCCACGATACAATACTGTTATTTGAATCGAGCTTCACAGGCCATTAAAACAGCCATCACCATCATATTATGTTAATATCTATCAAGAATTTTGCTAATTGCTCCTTTTAAACCTGGTACAGCATGAGATGACCTTCGATTCGGCCGATGCCGGTGCCTCTCTTACCTACCCTATGCAGTGCTCTGCTCTGCGTAAGAACGGTTTCGTCGTGATCAAGAACCGCCCTTGCAAGATCGTCGACATGTCCACCTCCAAGACCGGAAAGCACGGTCACGCCAAGGTCCATCTCGTTGCTACCGACATCTTCACTGGCAAGAAGTACGAGGATCTTTCTCCCTCTACTCACAACATGGACGTCCCCAACGTCTCTCGTCGCGAGTACCAGCTGGTGCGTGAACCCTTGCCCCGCTCCACAGAGGAACAACCCCTCTCCTCAGAATAGCAGACCCCCGGTCGTTTCCGCCACCAGCTCAACTAACATACATTCAAGCTCGACATCTCCGACGACGGTTTCCTCTCTCTCATGACCGATGACGGTGACACCAAGGACGATGTTCCTCTTCCCGACAACGAGGTTGGCCAGAAGATCACCAAGCTCTTCAAAGAGGAGGAGAAGGACACCAGTAAGTTGCTTTTATGGTCTTTATTCGACGAATTGCCTAACCATGCTTCTCAGACGTTATCGTTCTCACCTCCATGGGCGAGGAGTGCGCCATGGAAGCCAAGGAGGCCCCCAACCAGGGTTAAATCGCCTAACCTTTGATCCGCACCCTCTTTTAAATGGCACTTGGCCTCTGAGCTCCGCATTGAAAGATGATATGGGCTGGGGATTTTTGTTTTGATGAATGTTTGGCGCATCAATACTCATGGGCCATGGATTGGGCATTGCGCTGAAGGACTCTATCTGGACAGGATTGCCTCCCGGTTATGATATACGGCAATTCTGAGCACCTGAGCCTCGAGCTCAAAAAAATATTTTCCTTTGTTCCTAGCTCACACGCTGCACATGCCATCATGTCACGATACGTAGCGGCAATTTTATGAAGAAAAAATGGGAGAGCTTTGGAGTTGATCATGACTTGTTGATATTGAGTGACGTGATTTCTGTGAAGTCGTTAGGCAACGTGGTAACATCTGCTCAATACGGGTGCTTTGCGTAGGGCGAGACAGTATGACATATTGTATATGAACATACCTATGTTTGGACTTATAGTACAAACCTGCATTTATTGTTACGCAATCCATAAACCGCAACCCTGTGAGATGAAGTAAAAGATAATTGAATCTATTTTGATTCTCAAGTTGTGTACACAAGGCTTATGATTTCGCTCGCTACAAAGTGTACAACAGGATCCTACACATGCATATGGGTAAGTACTTACCTACACATATATTTTTAGCTCTAGCCGGTTTTTTTTTTTTTGACCGTCGCAAACCCGTAAGACCGGAGCTTGCAAACCCGTAGCAAAGACAACAACGGAAGCAAATACGAAATGCCATAACCAGTGCAAATTATGGACGAGAGGCGAGATCTTCGCAAGTTTCCCCGTGGGGAGAGATGTCCAGAATGTGGTGCTCGAAGATGGTATTTGGAGAGTGGTCTGCGCTTCTGTTCCAACGGACATCAAGTTGAGGTGTGTCTTGCATTATACTCTGGAAGACCCTGGACTGAAAATCATGTTAGGGATTCATTCAATTCGACATCGGTGATGATGTCGATGCTGGCCAGCTTGGTAAAAAGACAAAGAAAGACAAGGAGGTCAAGGAAAAAGAGCTGCGCCATCTCACGGGGCACGCAGGCAAGAATCTGTTTCTCGAATGTCTACAGCTAGTGCTGAGGCAGCAACTCCTTTGGCTCGTTCAGAGCAAAGGCCATCGAGAAGAGCTTGAGACTGTCGTGCGTGATCTATGGGATCTTCGTATTCGAGGTTCTGGGGCACTCCTGGCTGAGGAGGAAACACAACAAATGGGTGATGGCCTTGCGATATTCAGTTCGCAGCCTACAGGCACAGAGAAAGATGATGCGCCAAAGACGCAGGGCACAAGAGCTCGTAGCTGGAACTCAGAGGTCATCTCAGATTGGCCTGTACCGAGAATGATTGAAACCCTGGCCTTGTGCTATCTCGGATGCTTGTTGCTCAGGATACCTACCACGATTGGGGAGCTTTGTGCCTGGGCCAATTCTAGAAGAATGCCTTACAAACGATCAGTAAGTCACCCTCGAAATTCTATCACCTCAGCTAACAGATATCAGTACTACGATCTTCCCAAAGAAATGCAAGATCGACTGCCATCGGCTTATACCAGGGCCCTCAAATTACCCCTGCGCTCATCTCTCAGAGGCATCGACATGCACAATGCCGTGCTAGATCTCGCTCTCTCATATCATCACAACTATGGAATAATATTCCCAGCCATCAATGATACACCAACCATTGTGCATTTTGTCAGGCAACTTACTTTACCAGGCGAGTGCCCTCAAGACGCTGGCCACTCCTGTATTGACTGTTCTAGTGGAAACGCTCATCACAGCAAGAAGCATACTATCGGTGATGAAGTTCTCTTTTCAATTGCCCATTGAGCAGTCACGCCGATTTCATATAGACTATCCCGAGATTTTGCTCATGTCGGCTATTGTGGTTGCAGCGAAGCTGTGCTTTCCGTTAGCTCAACACGCCCCTTTTCTTCGCGCCGCTGGCACAGAGCAGAGTACCAGGTTCGATTGGAGAACATGGTTTAAAGGTGCCCAAGAATTAATAGAAGCATCTCAAACCCCTGTTAAGGAGCCCAGCTTCGATCAAGTTACCGCTGACCAAGTTACTTCAATGTCGACAGAGGAGCTTGACCAGTACTTTGCTCATATTGCGAGCACGATCGACAGGAAGAGTGGGTTTATCCCAGCGCATCAGTACAATACTAATGAATGAAAGATGATTCGGAAATCACCAGGTTATTTCCATCAGAGAAGGATCCTCCTCCAGAGGCTCCTCCAAGAGAAAATACAGAACAAGACAATGACCACAAGACGCGGAATATCCTTGGTCAAGCAATTACGGTAAGAGGAGAAGAGGGGTCAGAACAAGACGGGGAAACTCTGGCAGAACCAAGTTATGAAGCATTCCGTTCGGTCGAGGACCTTACAGAGACAGCGCTGGCATTGTATCAAGCTGCTGGTAAGTTATCACGCCTTTTCCAGATAATCTCTGAGCTGATCGGCCGTCAAGGTCACACATCAGGCTTATCGCTTGATGAAATAGTGCAATCAGTTTACATGTTAGAGCAAAAGATGATCTCGTGGCAATTGAAGAGACGCCGAGAAGAAGAGGAAGAATTCATTTGATCATATCAATAACATGGTCGATAATAAATGATACCACATTATTACTTACATCCAATACCTTAAAAGCTTCCATAAATCAGCGCATGACTGAGGGCGTTGGATCCACTCAAAGAAACGCTTCAGGAGCCAGCACGTGATCTTCTCCAACCTTAGGGCTTTCCTTCCTTTTTGAACTTGTTCGCCCCACCAATATTGCGCGCAGAAAGAAGACCGGCTTTCCAATCCTCACATCGTCACGTCACAAAAATCAGTAAAGAGTGAGTATACCCCTAACTATAGTCGCAAATAACGTCGATAGGCGTAAATACTGACTCTCCATGTAGTGCAGATGTAAGCCCAAGCCCGCCGTTTCCGAAAAATCGACCAAAATCGCCTCTTTTCCGGTGTGTACTAACAGAACCGTCCAGTTTCGTGAAGACCCTGACGGGCAAGACCATCACCCTCGAGGTCGAGTCCTCGGACACCATCGACAATGTCAAGTCCAAGATCCAGGACAAGGAGGGGATTCCCCCGGACCAACAGCGACTGATCTTCGCTGGTAAGCAGCTTGAGGATGGCCGAACTCTCTCCGACTACAACATCCAGAAGGTGCGTGCTGGGATCTGAAATGCGGTTGCGACTGAATTTGCAGGAAGATGATTCGGAAATGCTGGGAACATAAACTTACGCCTTGTACAGGAGTCCACCCTTCACCTTGTCCTCCGTCTCCGCGGTGGTATCATTGAGCCCTCGCTCAAGGCCCTTGCCTCCAAGTTCAACTGCGACAAGATGATCTGCCGCAAGTGCTACGTATGTCGAACCTGCCATTCCGCGACACACCTGATTCTAACCAGTATCAACAGGCTCGTCTCCCTCCCCGTGCCACCAACTGCCGCAAGCGCAAGTGTGGACACACCAACCAGCTCCGGCCCAAGAAGAAGCTCAAATAAACGATTACTCCATGGATGTGGCGTCTGGGATTTGGCATTTGGGGGTCGATGGCAAGGACAGAGGAGAGCTTCTTTTCTTTTGTTCACACGAGGCCGGTTGTTTTTTACATTAGCATGTGCAGCTCAGGCAATACATCCTAGATGATGCCCATATTGGCGATGTGCCGTGCCGCGAGGTGTTCCAGTCAGGCCCCTTCAAAAGAAATAAAAGCATTCACGCTTCGAGATGGTTATGTGCATGGAAATGAGTGAATGTGGGCAGTCTTGAGGTCAGCTATCGGGTTGACAGTACAACTCGTAGCTTACAGAGCTCCTGACAATTTGTTCTCACACTACTCCGCATTCCTCTGTTGATTCTGTCATGTAAATGTAACGCTTCTTCAATTCAAGAAATCTCCCTTACGATGGCTTACAGGGCTGTTTCATATCCACTGATACAGCCCTCAGGGGCTACAAATGTCCTAGCAGATACTTATAGTCATGATCTATAGCCAACCTATTCTGATCTACTTACTGATTACAGTATGTATTACCTCTATCTATTCCGAATATTCAGCCTATAAGACCTTGTCGGTGTGTTTTTATTTCCGTTGTGGCAAAGTATACCTAGGTATTGGAATAGGACAATTATAACCTTTGCAGACTGTAATCCTGCCCTGAGCTCGATAAAGTCGACAATCATGAAAGCGCCGGTTAATCCTCGGCTCAGAGCTCGACACGGTGCGCGTGCTCCTGAATTACGACAACTGCCAAACTGTCCCAATTAGAAGCTGACAGCGACCACTAAGAGCACCTCAACTTTACTCTCCCTTGTGACTTTGTCACTGCTGTTCATTTTCACCAAACACATTCATCAACTGCGAACGAGTCTTTCTTTTTATCCTTTCTAAGCTGCTATATTTAGATAGATACCTACCCAAGTTCACAATGTCTGGTTCCGGTTACGACGCCGTTGTCGATGTTGACGATGAGGTATGCCATGGCCCCTCTAGCTAGCTACCCTTTCAAGCTCAAAGCTGCAATCCGCAACATCTTTTCACAATGTCTCTTTGACTAAACTAATATGATGCTCAGGGCGACCTCGGACATACCGATCTTCAAGAAGACCTCGAGTTCCATACGTCCAACTTCAATGATACAAACCCCAACACCCGCAAACATCCCTCCACCGGCAGCGGTCTTCCTCCGCCAGCAACGGCCTCGACCGGCTCCGGCTCATCCAAGCGCTTCCTCTGGAGCATGAACTTTTATGCGCAATTCTTCGATGTCGACACCTCAGCTGTTCTGTCCCGTTGCTGGGCTGCTCTATTTCCCAGGGCCAACTTCCTCGACGTTCTAGAGGGCAACCCTGATCTTTACGGACCTTTCTGGATCGCCACCACGGTCATTTTGATCCTTTTCCTGGGCGGCACTATCAGCCAGTATATGTCGGATACGGGCAAGGGGCCATTCCTCTATGATTTCAAGCTCCTAAGTGGTATGTTTCATGTGATATTGGCTGGGAGTCACGCACTAACATAACAAACAGGCGCTGCTGGCCTCATCTATGGCTACACTCTCTTCATCCCTATGGCTCTCTTCCTCGCTCTCCGTTATTTCGGCAGCGAATCTGCCAATCTCCTCGAGTGCTGGGCTCTGTACGGCTACTCCAACCTAATCTGGGTCCCTGTTGCCCTCATCAGCTCGTCACCCATCTCCATACTCAACTGGGTCTTTGTTGGTATTGGTTTCGGAATCTCGGTTGCGTTCTTGTTGCGAAACCTTTACCCCGTACTCAGCGCCACGGATCGCCAGGTCAGCAAGGTCCTGCTGGTCGTTGTGGTGCTGCTACACGCTGGTCTGGCGCTTGCGATCAAGATCCTTTTCTTTGCTCACGGTAGCCCCGTGGCGAGCAAACCGGATGGGGGTAAGGATAGCCGAATGTTTTAGGAGGTGGTAGTAAATCGATGAGATTGAATGACACGTGTAAAGAGAATGTGTATTCCTAGGCCTCAATTGCGATTAAGGTATAGCCAAAAAAGGAGTCTCTGGGGAACCAGATCTTTGGGAATTGTTTGTACAATGAGTTAGAAGGCGCTTTTATTTGACCAACCATTCTGCCAATGAATGTCTGCATTTCATCCAGCTCTGTCTGTTGAATATCGCTTCTTTACCTTCTCAACTGGTCCTTTCTGGGCCTCCCAATCCAGCCAGCTGCCTGCATAGTCGCCGATCTTGTTCCAGCCAGCATAATAAGCTAGTTGCGCAGCCGCCCTCGCACGCACTCCTGCTTTGCAATAAAAGACAAGCTCCTTGTTCTTTGCCGGCCTCTGGAAGCCGTACATATCCTCAAAATCCTCGTCAGAGATATGGAAGCTCTGGGCTGCCGATGTGATAGGAATATTAATCGCACCGGGAATCTTGCCCGTCTCGAAAAGCTCGACTGGTTCTCGGACATCTGTTGCGCTTGTTAACTCGATTTCCCAATATGCCTAGAGGTGAACGTACCGATGAGGACTACATTGCCCGGGTCAGATTTCTCAACATGGTTCTTTATATCTTCAAAGCTCCATGGCTTGGGGTCCGGTGGGGCCTTGTCATCTATCGGTTTTGCTTTGGTTTGGGCTTTGGTAGCATAGCTTCTAGTAGACGGAAAGGGCTCAAAAGCTCGGGATGGTAGCGAGGGGCTTGCCGAGCGAGCTACAATTATGGAGATTGATCGAGCAGGTCGGAGGGCAGCGGGTGCGCGCGAGGCTGATGAGAAAAGAGCGCGACGGGACGCCATTCTGTATTAATGTACAGAGGTTTACTCCCAGGATAGTATCGGGGCGGGAAATGCGAATTCAGGTTCAGGATGGCGAATCGTGGACTACACCGAGCTAAGGTGACTGACTAAGAAGCTGGGGCCAGGGTAATGCAAGACACAATCAAATGAATGCCATGATGTTACAGAACTAATGAATCAACAGACGCTTCGTAATCACTAGTTCTGAAATCAACCGATAAGCGAAAGTCAACAAGACGCGGTTTTACTATTCAAACCTTCAAAGTGATGGCTGTTACATTAAAACCAACTTCAACACGCATAAGTTATAAGGTGGCCATCATGAATGTCTCATGCTGACCTAAGTTGGAGCCAACATCAAGTTACTTCACTCAACTCGGCCATCTGATCTGTTTTTGAGGTCTGTTGCTATTCGCTGTCCAAATGCCAGTTCCAATCATGGCAATCATCTCTATGACCTTGCGGTCCCAAATGCCCTCGGGCAGCTAACTATATACACCGAGAATAGGTATTAAAACTGTTATGCATCATGATTTTCCTTTGCGTCCACATTGAGCTGTTTTGCTGACTCTTCAAGCTTCATCTCCAGAGAATTTTTCTGTAGCTAAACGTCTGCCAACAGTTGATCTCTTGTTTTATCTTCGTCAGAAGTTTAAGCAATTCACAGCCATCTTCCTCGATCATTCTTTCGGCCTCCCTCATCAGATACACACGGGCTACAATTGCACCGCCCTGTGCATCAGGGATGCCGGAATCGTGTCGAACGGTCCGTATTGAATCTAGTGTCGACCGAGTTCCTGGTATCGTTCACCACTTCCTCTCCTCGAAGGTGAGGGGACAGTCGTCCTATTCCAAAGTCAGTCATTATCGCATTGTATTGCCCTCTAACGCGTACATACCATGGGGAAAATGGTGGCAAAGACCTTGATCTCCTCAGACTTAGGAGTTGCGTGATGCTTCCAGTCAAGCATGACTGAAGCCTTTCCGATCATGAGAGCCAGGTTCAGCTGAGCGTACACCTGTCCAAGGCAGTAGTGAGGTCCGGTACCGAAAACCAAGTAGTTCTTGGAACCCTTCTCCTCAGCATCGCCGCTGTAGTATCGTTCGGGGTCAAAGTGGCTGGGGTTGTCATAGACCTCGGGATCGTGGAGAGCCATGAAAGTGGTGGGGATCAACATTGAGCCTATTGAGGATTCGAATCAGTATCACGGCGAACAAAAATGCAATTGGAAGCTTCTCAACTTACCCTTGGGAACGGTGTAGTTCTCGGTCAGGGGGAAGGCCTTCTTGGTGACATAGGGAACCATGATGACAGGAGGGCGCCATCGAAGAAGCTCTCGGACAACAGCGCGAGTGTAAGTAAGAGATTCAAGTTGATCCATGGTGATAGGCGCGTTGGGGTCACCGTTGCGGACTTTGATGTTCTCCTCTCGGACACGGTCGAGGACGTCGGGTCGCTGGGCGGTAACCTGGAAGAGCCAAGTAGCGGCGCTGCTGGTGGCATCCTGAGAAGCGAAGAGGAAGGTGAAGATAGTCTGAGAGATTTCATAATCGTTGAACATGCGGAGAAGAGGAGTGGGCTTCTCGACGGCATGTCCCTCGCCCCTCTCCTCGGCCTCACGCCAGCGTTCAGACTGTATCATTGAGAGAACCCAGGCGTCCATGATGCAGGTAACTTCACCACCAGCAGCCATGCGAACCTTGCTTTTGGCGGCACACTTGGAGAACTCGGCCAAAACCATATCAGCGGCCTTTTTACCATACCAAGATTTGGTATAAGGAAGGATAACGGGGAGGTTGACAAGCTCGAGAGCAGCAGTGATGAGATAGTAATCCTCGGCGATCTTGGTGACAGCCTCGTCGGAAATGTAGTGACCAACAAAGGTACGGCAAGAGACAGCGCACATGACCTCGCGGAACTCATGCATGAAAGGGACAGGCTTGCCGCCGGCATCCTTAGTCATCTTGAGGAAATGCTTGAAGTAAGTGTTGTAAGCCTCCTCCTGGCCAGGGAGATAGCTCTCCAGGGCCTTGCGGGTGAAGAGACCGTTAAGACCCTTACGGAAATCAACGTGGGCCTTTCCGTCGAGGAATACCCAATTGTCATGTCCAAGAAGCTTGGGAGCAACGTCGACAACGGTGGGCTTAACATAGGCGGGTGAGTTAAAGACCTTGCGAGCCATATCACGAGTGGAAGCTATAACGACGAACCTAGCAATTCAATGTCAATAGAGCCGTTCCGCCATACTGAATCGCTCGTTCAGTACTTACTTGTGGAAGATAGAAACACAGCTCAGGGGACCGCTGCTCCACTTGGCATGATAACCGTCGAATCGAGGATCCATGGAGTCGAGGAATGGGCCGATGAAGGGAAGCTTCATGGCCGGGCCCTCGATAGGACCTTTCCTGATGATGTAGGCAACTGTTTGGGAGCTCTGGTTAGCAATGCGCTTTGGGTTACCGGATAACGGAATAACATACTCTGGTCATACGCAACGCAAAGAGCGATGAAAGTGAAAACCCAAGTCCATACGCCAGCGTTAGAAACAGCTTCGATAACATATTCGACCTGAGGAGGAAGAGCCACATTGGCGTATTTGGTGCCGGCCAGAACGGACGAGAAGCCGCTGGAGGTAGCGTTGACGGCCTCCATTTTGTTGAGAGCGGTGATATGCAACGGCAAGGAATCGAATCGGTCCAGTCGTTGAGATGAACCGCGCCGCAAGTCGAGTTGGAGCTCGCAGTCAGGCGAGATTATTGTGTCTGGTTGCTGAGTTTCTCACAACCAGTGGTACTGCGTGCGACTGAGGAGTACTATGAGAATGAAGGAGAGGAAAGGGACGGGAAGTAGGGGAGAGGGGGAGGTAAAGTAGGAGGAGGTTGTGTTTCTTTCCAGATACAGGAGGTACCTTCCCAAGGTTAGTAATTGCCCAGTCTTCCTGCCTACGCCGATGGCTGTGGAAGGTGCAGGCGCCTCCCGTCCACAGAGTCCGTTCCGCGTCTGTCAATCAATCAATGAAATCAGTGCTTGGCTTGTCATTTACAGGGAGTGGGCAGAGAAAAAAAAAATACATAAAAAGAGGGCCCTGGGGTCTCAAGGTCAAGCAAGGTACGGGCACTACGAGGCAAGGGACAGGGTGTGAACGATTAACGGGAGCGAATTCGCTAAGGGCGGAGATTTAAAGAGATGAAAGTGAAAGATATATATGTACACTGCTAGACCGTCTCTGCACTGAACAATCCAATGGCTAGCAGGAATGTCAGTAATTGCTTTCTGATGGTTGTAAACTGCTTTTTGTTCCTATTGCAAGCTTTGATGTGGCCTTGTGTCCCTAAAAGATGTTGTTAAACAGGGACAGATGAGATGCGAGGTAGAATTGCAGCGTGGTTGACTTGTTGGTGGGGGGGTCGGCTGCATGCCACACGTCTAGAGAGACGCCCTCCCAATTAACACAACCTTCCTTATGAGGCTTCAATAACGACCGTCTTGTTCGGTTGCCAGGAGAATAAATCTGAATGTAAGCTCAATAAAGACGTATAGACTAGCAACTCATCAATTGGGCCTTTCCAGATCTATATATCAAGAGAAAGAGGTACAAAAGAAAGATCGCATGTTTCCATGACTATTTCCTATCCTTTTTTTTTCACTGGGTCTTCATATCAAATTCCGTTCTTGGTGCTAATTTCTATCCTCCAATTCAAAATCTTCACCATAAAGCATCCTACCTTGGTTTAGTCTCCGACCGGCGAAGCCCCGACGATCCCGTAAAGGGTCTAATGTTGGCCTGTCGCATTTGCTTTATGAAACTAGAACTGGAAAAGCAGACCACTTTCTTTGCATTTCGTGGCTTTCGTGTAGGTATCATCATTTACCCGGAGTAACAACTTGACATGATTTGTTACTACGTACAGCCATTAGTATCCCAACCCATCTATACCAGCGCCATGTTGCTTGGTTTTTAGACAAAGACTCGTGACCTCTGGTTCACTTTCACCTACCATAACAAAAACTAGGCCACCTACTACCGCAATGTCTTGCTTGTTCGCTTGTCTTTGAAGCTCCACCAGCCTTGATCGTAATCGTATGTACGCCATAGACAGCCCTAGCATAATGTTTACCGCCTTCGCCTTGTTCCGCATCTTCCGTCGCAGATCTAAGCGGGCCCTAGCCTGATATTCGGGACAGCACTGGGGATATTTCATCGTAAGTTTCCTCTTCAGCCTCATTGTATACTTATTACATGGTTGAAGTTTGTGTCATTGAGCTGCTTGTTCGTTTGATACAGAGCTGTTGGCGAGTTTATCGGGGAAATCCGGTTAGCAATGGCCATCGGGCGACTCGTCGTGTATGAGGCGTTAAACGCAAGCCTGTTACTACCTTTGACAGGGGCATTAAGTAAATCATACCTCGAAACTTTTGTCTGAGTTTCCGTCTGCTTAGAAGTTCGTGTGTACCTCATAGTTGGTGGCGGTCCTAGCTGTTCTCCATTGCTATAGTTTTGAGGCTGAACATCGCGACTTCTGGTCTCCCGAACTCCCACGTGGTCATCAGCATATCCCAGGGCCTCTTGGTACGCCCGGGGAGAGTCTTAAAGTCGGTTTCGCTAGAACCTTACTCCTCCTTAAGTCTGTGTATCTACTACACAGTATAGGGGTAGGTTAAAAGCCAATGCCTGTCCATTCGCGTGGAAATCGTAGATTGGTTATTGGTTATATAACCACCAACACATACAGTATGCCATGGATCAAGTATGTACTCGCTATCCGTATGGTAACCGTTAATAAGAAGCAAACATCACCGTCAGATTTATACATACATATGTACATACCACAGTACAACCCTGGGGTTTACTCACACCCACTCTGATACATCATTACCCTATTGGCCTAGCTACCTTATAAGTCCAGGGACAAAACCAATCAATGGTCGCTGACAAAGACTCATTTCCAGGGTCCACCCTTAGCTCGATCGTCAGAGTTCCACACTGACGAACGGTTCGCTATTAATACGACGTATTCGTTTACCTGGAAACAATTCGGGATTACGCTCCTGTCGAGTCACGCTGTTCCTTCGTAGATCAACGAATACATGTTTAAAAGCACACGATTGTATTTTATCTCGCCTTGAGGGTGAACAGCAGACGAGGAGTTGTTCTCAAAGAATGGCGTATGGAACTTGTGTGGGTGATTTAGTCAGAATTCTACTTGTAGGATGTGCGTCAGCAAGACACATTTCTGGTGTCAAATTCGTTTTCAATTACGAATATGACAATAATTACGGAGTACGGAGTACTGCCTAGGTACTCCGTAGGTGGTCGTAACCTGTCAACCACTCAAACACTGACCATATGTAAGTAAAGCTTTGCAGTGTCGTTTATGCATCTGGAATCCTTGCTCAACACCAGGCCTCATTCATTTCACCTTGAGTCACTGTACCCGAATACGAATGCGACTCTGTTGGCCGTTGTGTCAGACTGCAACTCTTCAACACGGCAACAATCTGCTCCCCAGCCCAGCGTCGAAAGAGTTGATTTGCCCATAAACAACTGTTTTTCCTATAAAGCTCCTGACCAAGTCCATACTTAGCAGTGTATATTGCCCACGTGATTACCCTTCCATCATGACAACTCGAGAAGCCAAGAAACTCGCTAGACCTGCAGACAGATAAGCTTATCACAGGCTTATTTTGATCCAGTTTTGCTTCCCTTATCTATCATCGACGTCACTTGCCGAAGAAGAGTTTCTGACAAGCGGGTTTCCGCTAAAGGTGGGGGATCGTCAGGATCGTGTGGGGCATCCATTCCAAACTGCCTACCCTATAATGGGGCTTCGGTTTTATGAGGTTTGTAAATTCTGCTTTTAACAAACATTGATGCAGTTTAGATCCAAGCTTTCGGGGTTTTTAGTCTTCAAGCTTATGGTAGTGTTTTTTTCTTCTTCTTTCTTTTTGGTTTACTTATCTCCACACTCACACCTTTAGACTAGGTCTGTTGGAGGCTGGACGTTTCCATCCCTTATCAAACATCATCAAGTGTTGGCACATCCCCTAGTGAATACAACTTTGTGTTAGTTGTCCCGAGAGCTCATGATCCGTCTTGATATTTGCAACCCTTGGCTCCATGACGCCTTTTTGGAGAGAATTGGAAGGACCAGTATCGATGTCCGTGTAGATATCCAAGTTATGCAATGCACGATATTCTCATCAGTGCCACGTTTCACTCCTCCACTGTGCGGCCACCTAATCCTCTTACAAAGGTCACTCGAGACTCTTGTCAAAAGAAACAGTCCTGAGATCTCAATCATGAAATCGTCTACTGTGCTTTATCTTCCCCAAAACACGTCATAGCTGTCAGATATTTGCCGGCTGCGTCATGACCGTGATGAGTGAGATCTGTATTTACCCTACAACAGTCGAGAACCGCCGTACAGCAGTCTCTCCACCACGAGAGATACCGGAATGGGCAGCTGGAAAGGAGGGTGATTCATTGGTATCTAACAAGCTGCGATAGTGGATTCTGTCGCACTTACACCACGTAGTTCCGCGTGTGCCTGCTTTCGAAACGCTGTAAAGCAGGGCACTCTGCGTCGTAAAGGATGGGTCGTGGTCACGCTTCAGCCCGACTTATAGCGAGTATAAGTGGCAGCATTCGCAGCCATCTGAACTTAGAAGCTCCATACCTACACAACCATCCTCAAAAAACAACACATCCATCACTCAACCAAACTCACCATGCCTTCCTACATCGTATGCATCACCTCCACCATTTATCATATTCTGTCATCAACTGACGATCTCTCATAGGTTACCTGCAAGGACGACGCGTCCGACGATCAGGTCAAGTCGTACGTACCAGCTCGAAAGAACATTCACTCATGTGAAATTAACAGTCGATAGTGCCAAACAGCACGCCATTGACCAGGGCGGCAAGATCACCCACGAGTACAGTCTCATCAAGGGCTTCGCGTAAGTTAACCTCGTGTGATAGAGAATTATACGGTCGTAACTGACAAAGATCATAGTGTTCAGTACGATGACGACAAGATCCAAACGCTTGAGAACCACGAGCACGTCAAGGCAGTCGAGCCCGATGGCGAGATGAAGACCCAGTAATTGAATGGGAAACAAGTGATGCATACGGAGAGGCCATCGGTATCCATACATAGATTATCACAAGCTCTACTGCATCGGCGTCAGGGAATATAATCATTAAACTGGCTTCTATCGAAAAGTTATGCATTAGCCGTGGTTTCTTGAAACACACCAAGTCTGGCATTTCAATACAGAGCCCTCTTGTAGTAGTAAGATGACCATCATGACGGCAACATTGAACCCAAGGCCTCTGACGCTTGGCGGGGGACTGACTCGGTGACGTATGCCCGTCACCCCGCAATTGTGAGCCGTGTGATAAGCGATAAGCCGGCCGCAAGCGCTTCAGGTGGCAGCTCTCAGCTCCACCCGGACCGTTGAAGAGTCATCCGCCTCGGGGACATTTACCGGTCTGTCCAGCTTCTACAGATCAGCTCCGTACTTTCTAATATCAACGACGCTATTTCCAAGAGGAGTGCGAAAACAAGACTTTTACTAAACACACCATAATGCTGCAATGATTACTTCTTCAACCAGGTTAATAAGGCGGCGAGGGCCTGCCGCCTCTACTATTCTTCGATCATGGTCCTACTACACCTCACATCGATGCTTGTCTCAATGGAGGGGCCCTAGACAATCGCATCGGGGTCATGAAAGCATACGGAACCGGCTGGTGACGAGACGGGGTTTGCACTCCGCAAAAGTGTCGGATGATGAGATTGCGACCCTGGCTCGACAACATCAACATCCTCTGTGTCTCGCAGACCTTGTGAGGTTTGTCTAGCTCCCCTTTTAGCTACTGACAATACCTGACAATCTATAGACACGGTCGGCCTCCTCTATCCTCTAAGTCTCTCCTCTCATCCGCAAATTTTGCCCTATCTCTTCTGCCCGTGCGCCTCGCCCATCGTATTCAGGCGCTTCGAAACCTCCCTTACATCGTCGTTGCGAACCCGAACATCTCACGTATATACAACAACTACCTCCATTCTTTATCAATACTCCTTCCATACTGGCACGCGACCCGTGAAGGACGACCAATCTCGACTCTCGAAGACGAGATACGCTTTACAAATGTACTGGCCGAGCTCGTTGCGACACACACCGATACTATTCCCATTCTTGCAAAGGGCTTCCTTGAATGTCGACGATATATATCTCCCGAAGAGGTAACGAAATTCCTCGACCAGCACCTCCGCGCTCGAATCGGTACGCGCCTCATTGCCGAGCAGCATATTGCACTACATTTCAGTTCTCAGCCGCACTTTGACCCCAATGCTAGTCCAACACCGTGCCCTGATGATCCCTCGTACATTGGAGTCATCGACACAGCTCTTCGCCCCGCACAAATAGTAGAGTCATGTGCTGGCTTCGTCGCTGATATATGTGAGCTTCGATATGGCGTCCGGCCTCTTCTCTATATTCATGGCGAGCCAGACACCACATTCGCATTTGTCCCCATGCACCTCGAGTACATAGTTACTGAACTGCTGAAGAATGCATTCCGTGCTACAATTGAGAACAAGTCTAACGAGCCTGTAATCGTCACGATCGCACCAGAGCCTGCCTTGACCGAAGAACCCTCGACAGCATCTTGGTCAAATTCATCGACCAAAAACAGCGATTCGCCCTCAAAGGACAGCCGAAACAACAATAACGATGCGATAGTCCCTCTCGATGATAATGCTCCAGGAGTGACGATTCGTATTCGCGATCGTGGTGGCGGGATTCCACCGGAAGTCAGCCCGAATATCTGGTCGTACTCGTTCACCACCTTCTCCGATGACATGGATGACTTCCCAGGAGATGGAAACGGTGGCGACGGTCTCAGTGCGATATCAACTGCCAGCACCGGTGGTAGTTCCATTGCCGGGTTAGGATACGGACTACCTCTGAGCAGAGCATACGCCGAGTACTTTGGAGGTGGCATTGCGGTCCAGAGCCTATATGGCTGGGGAACGGATGTATACCTACGATTAAAGGGCGTTGGAAATCTGGGTAAGAAGTAGTCGAGGCAAATAGCATTTGGTCTTGGATATCTAAGTCACATGAGAAGTTATGGTTGAGTAATGAGATAAAGCGGACAGATAAAGAACATGATTACAAAACGAGGGCGACACCAGAACGACCGATAGAATCAGACGAGTGAACGATGTAGCATAAAGGGAATTTGGGCTGAGAGGAGAATATTCACCGGGCAGAGTCAAGTTAGGTACTGACATTATGATTTTCGAAGATGAAATGTAAGCGAAACAAGCGGGCATGTTAAAAGACTTGATAGCAGGTAGGATTAAAAAGATGAGATATGAACCATTAGTGGTCCCAGCCAGCCATTCATTAAGAAATAATAACATTTTTCAAAATCAGCCAGTAAAAGCTTTCCAAGGAACTACTCCCATATCTGCCCAGTAATAAGAAAAATCATATCTAACGCCTGCCGGTATTCTCACTTCCTCATTTTTGAACAGCCATATTTCCACCATGCTTTGACTGCGCCAGCAACTCTATCTAAGATCGGGATAGGCTATCGCTGTGACACTGTATGAACCCAGTATAAGGTATGTACCCAAGATTAGAGTATAAAAATAGTTATAAATCCTTCATTTCCCTCCAGATGCAAATTACATGTTCTCCAGCTCATGGTCGATCTGTCGATCCATAAATGTTCGGCGTTCACCAACAAGCTCGGTCTGAAGACGCTGCTCTACTAGAGCGCGGACTTGCTTCTTGGTCACAGTGTCCAGGTCAACCTCGCACAGAACTGAGCGGATAGACTCTACGATAGCCATGTCGTTGGGCCCAGCGTGGCCATGCTGGAAGTCGAACGATGACTGCGATCGCATGGCATCCGGCATGGGAGATCGAGCACCACTGCTGAAGCCCAGAGCAGTGCCAGATCGGCTATGTCCACCGCCAGTGGCGGGCGAAAGATTGGCCTGACCACGGAGGTTACCCACGCTGGGATGTTGGCCAGGGTAGTCCTGGTATGGCGACTGGCTGCGCATATCATGAACACCTGTGCCCATAGACATCATAGACTGTCGATGCTGCATGGGAGAATCTTGGAAGCCCATGGTTGATGTGCGACCGTTGTTGAAGGCGGGAGACTGAGGAGGCATGTAGGTGTTACGGCCAGGCATGCCAGTCAAGACAGAGCCCTGAGGCCCAGCAGAGTACACAGACTTGATCTCATCAAGTTCATAGTTGTCACCATAGGAATAGTCGGTCTTCTCTTGGTATCCACCACGACGTCCAGGAAGGTTATTAGCTAGAGCGTAGTCATCCCAACGCTGCAGAGGAATAGAGCGAGGGTCGAAGCCTTCATCATCAACAGCGACGACCTGCTTGTTGCCCTTCTCTCCAATGACGATACGGGTGTTACCCCACGAGAAGTTATCCTGGTTCCAGAAAGAGTAAAGGGGAAGGATGAAGGAGTAGATGGGGAAAGCAAGGAGGTAAATAATCATCCATCCAATGTGCTGCCACTGCCTCTTGAGAATAAAGATAAGGGCCTGGAGACCATAAACAGCAGCAATCATAGCAATTGAGATGTATGGAATGGGTCCAGAGCCGGTAGCCAGAATGTAGATAAGGTAACCAATGTAGACGCAGGTCGAGGGGAGAATGATGGTACCACAAAGATCAATAAACACAACGAAGCGCATACTGAAACAGCAGAAACCACAGAGCTCCTTCAGTTGCATAAGTTCAACAAGATTGTGAATGGTCGAGTTAATCCATCGTCGACGTTGAGACAACAGAACACTCCATGACTCGGGGGCAGCAGTCTTACACTGGGCATCGGGAATGAACTTGTAGGACATCTCAGGGAAGTACTTGGTCATCAGGGTGGTAAGATAACGATCCTCGCCCAGAGACAGAAGGTTCTTCTTGTGGAGGGTGTCCACATCACAAACACTGTAGTCCTTGATAACAGCATCAGAAATGATGAGAGGCTTGCCCTTGTCAACACTTCGGAGACGGTACATGGTGAAACTAAGGGAGATTAGCTATTGTCACAACGGGAGAGGTAGGGTTAATAAACATACCATCCAGGCAAACAAGTAACGCTACCAAACAGAGATTCGAAGGCCTTTGCAAGATGATGAGAGATGAAGTATTCGTAAACCTGGATCATAGTCCACCAAGTCTTTTCGTCGTTCTCCAGGGTAGTTTCACCACAAATACCAGCAATCTTGGCGTTGTGGGCACAAGCAGCAACAAGACGGTTGAGCGAGTCTTCCTCGACACAGGTATCGGCATCGACCATGAGAAGGTACTCATAAAGCTCAGGATCCACACCAATGATATTGTTAACCTGATGGAACATTTCAAGCTCGAGGGGAGACATGGGTGATCGGTGATGGACACGGTTGAGGAAGCTCATTAGGAGAATCTGAGAATCACGCTTGCCACGGTTACCAGGCTTGGCCTTTGACTGCTCAGACTCCTTTCCAACTTTGACGACGACGATGTAGGGAACAACGTTGCCCTCAAACTCGTAGAGGCCAGAGTAAACCTTGCCGTAGTTGAGTTGCTCACTGCTAGAGCCGACGGACTTGAAAGGGAGCGCAGGAGGATCAACCTTGGGATCAACACCAAGAATGTCGAGAACGATCTTGGGAGTGGGACGATCATTACCTTGACCAACGACGACACCATCGCAAATGACACAGATGAGCTTGCGCTTGTTATCGTACTGGAGGGCAGTCAATGAATCGAGAGCCTTTCGAAGAGAATCTTCACCCTCGGTGTAGACAGGCACTTGGCAGATGACAAACTTATCCTGGGGTGAGGGACGTCGCTTGGATCCGAATTGAAGGGCAGCAAGGAACTTGACGGCGGTGACGATGCAAATGATGACAGCGAAAGCCAGAAGAAGGTAGTTGTTGACCTGGCATCGTGGTGAATCACGGAAATCAAGGATACCCTTATACGCAATATTTTGAATGCACTGCCAACTGTTCTTAAGGTTGGCACTGACAGTCTCGTTCTTTGCGTTGGCGATGAGCAGATCGAGATCCTTCTTGATGTTGGTTCCAGGGCTGTTCTTCCAAAGGTCTACCATGTCTTCGTTAAGGAACTTGTACGAATCGAAGTTGTCGTTGACGTCGAGGGTATGTAAGTAATCAGTGAGATCATACACCTCGTTGCCATAGGTAGCCCACATGTGTTGTTCATTTTCACCCTCGTTCTTGACCTTGCTCTTCTTCCAAACAAGATTGCCATGGTAGTATTCCTTGATCTTGGGCTGGAACTTCTTCCAGTACCAGTAGGGATCATGAAGCGCACTGGTACGATCACGGGTATAAAAGCCGGAAGTGTGCTGGGCCAGGGGATTGGTGATGGTGTCGTTGAAGGTGAGCTGAGTCGTCTCCTTGATCCCAAGGCCTCTGCAGGCCGTGTTCAGGGGAGGCATGAAGTAGTCATCCATGACCATACCAGAAAGAGGTAGCATGTTGGACTTCGTGACCTTGATACTGGTATCACTGTGCTGTTGTTGCCAGAAATCGGTGATGTCGTAGACCTTTCCGTGAATGGCCACCCAGAAGGCCTTTTCGTCCTCTGCGTGACTAGCAACCTCCTTGACATTCCATGCCTTGTTTGCATTGGGGCACAAAAGCTTTCCGAAACCGATAATCCAGAAAACGACCATGCCATTAATAAGAATAATCAGGAAGAAGAGAACGAACTTCTCACGCCAAGCCATGCGAACATCGGGTCGTCGCATACGGCCAATGAACTTGAGCAGAGGCGAAGGAATCCAGAAAGTCAGGGCCCAAACCAGAGCAATCCATGCTCGACGACCGAAAGGCAAAGGCTTGGACTCGATCTTCTTGTTCTTGGCAAGTTCACCATCTAAGATTCCGGTGAATTCACCATCCTCATTATAATAGACTTGGCCCTTGTATGTGTCACCCTTGGTACCGAGACCGTAATCACCAGTGGTCTGGACGTTGCGCATAGCTGAGGGGGCAATTGAGGGTGCTGATTGGGGGTTGAGATTCTGATGCTGGTTCAAGGTAACCTGGCTCATGTTGCCTTGGCTGAAGTTGCGAGTGTGCATCAGCTGATCATTGCTTCCATTCAAGCTGTTGTCCATGGCAGGGGGGGGGAAGAAACCGCTGCCATTGGGAGGGTTAGCCGAATAACTTGTGTCAAAGCCAGAGGTGAAAGGATTTTGGCCCACGCTCTGAAGACTGTGAGCGGGCTTGATATCAAGCATGGTCTCTGCCTCCCACCAAGGACCTTCGCGAACCCAGATTCGCTCCTTGCCAATGAAGACTTCGCCATTGCTCCATCCTCTCTCGAGCATCCAGGTCTCGATGCCGTCTTTGCCATCCTTGCAACCGAGAGCGCCGTATCGGCCAACGAATTCGTCGACGTCGAAGTCAGCTGTGTAATCAAGGTTGCGGTTACGGCGGTTAGCCCACTCGGGAAGTCTCCATGAGCGAAGCTGGCGGGAGACTGTGCCAGCTGACCATGCCGAAGTAATGGCAGGGAGAGTAGCCAAGTTGGCAGGCGAGTCATCCGTAGGATGGAGCGAAAGATGGAACCAAGTACGGCTGGCGCTCAGAAGTGCAGGCAGATCGAAACGACCTGCGCGACCAAGGCTGATTCCTTCACCCTCGACAGGAAACAACAGCTTCTTCACAAAACTGTCATCTTCAGATCCGTATGCAACCTTTTCCAGAATGACCTCCCGCTTCTCGAGATCATGTTGGCGGTCCCTTCCCTGGGGGCCAGTCATGATGCCCAGATCAGGTGCGACATCAGAAACGGCTTGCTGCATCTCACGAACCACAGAAGATCCAACGGGGTGGACCTCAACACCATCCTCAATCATCTCAGCGTTGATTCCAATAGTATCATCGAAAATAGTACGCATAGCTAGAGCCCGGCCGATAGAAGGCTCGGGGACTTCCACAACAGTGATTGAGACGGTATCACCATCCTCGTTAGAGGTGGGAGTACGCACACCGCGGCCATCGATGGACTCGTCACCATCTCGAATGCGAAGCATCTGAGCAGCAATAGCACTGTTGGCCTTTGAAATCACCCAGTCGACAAGAGCCTCGTACAAACCACCAACGAGTGTTCGACGGTCTTCAGTGCTCAGTTGCTGCATGAGCACCTCTGGTTCCATGCCAAGAAGACCACTGACATCCTCGCAAATCTCCTCAAAATCGTCTGAGTCGGCATCGTAGTCGAGAGTGTTCCCGAGCTTGAGCAGACCGGCAAGCGTGGAAATGAAGTTACGGTGGGCAGAACCCTTGATGCCAATCTCTTTCAGAGCTTGGCGGAAGTCATCGGCCGCAGCACCATCGTCGGCGGTGATCAGGTAGGAAGGCGGCTCATAGGTGCCGGAGCGAGCCAGTAGAGCATACGCTGAAGGGGATTTGAGGCCTAGGAATTCTCGTTCGGCGGGTGTCGATGCTGATGTAAGGAGGTAATAAAAGACATCAAATGCACGGTAGCCAGCCTCGGCGGGGATATTGAGCAATCCGTTCTCAGTGTCAATGCCACCTTGAGATAAAGCGAGCGACGCGCCTGTAACATTTCCTCCCAAACTCAAGGTCAGTGTAACGCCGAGAGCGATCTGTCGTGGAGCGGAAGCATTGTAGGGAGTAACACATCGGAGGAACGGTTGTAAAGCTTCCAGAGACTTATAGATGGAAGCAGGAATGGCGAAGGGGAAAGTGTTGAGGAAAGGAACGAGCAATGAAGGAGTCGACTGGTGAAGTGATCTGTACAATGTTAGAATGATGGAACATAATCGTTTTGAAGAAACCTACCCCAAGATCACACAGCCGTCCTCAGCACGGCGTCTAGCATGTTCCCATGCTCGAGCAGCGAGAGTAGCATCAACAGTAGCCCCAGCCTGAGCAGCTGTAAGCCATGTATTGACAACTAGACTGGTGCTGGTATCGAGTTGATAGGGCTGAGAAGACAGGTAGATGTTGTGGATGGCGTTCAGGAGAGTTGTGGTAGACACCTGGGCGGCTTGAGGACCACCACCCAGTGCCTCTGAAGCCATCGAGTACATGGACATTCGGCTGGCCATGATAAATGACGGTGATGCCCTCGATGGGGACGATCACAGGTTATTGCACGTTGCGATGTGGATGTTGTACACTGTACTTGATTCAACGGCCGAGTTTAAGTGCAACTGAGCAGACTTTGGAAGGGTATTACGTCCGAGGAACGACAGACGGGTAGCAATTAGAAGTATGAGCGAATGAATAGACCAGAGGTCAGCTGAAAGCAATTGAATGCGGCTTAGAGGCTTAGAGTGAGTTTGTCGAATGATGAGATGAAGGTTTCGGTCGCTGGGCAACGCCGCCCTCCTTTTCGGCTGATCGAATGAAGAAGTATCACGGCCTGGGCGGCTGTGAGTACTAATGCAAGGAGGTTTTTGGTCGGGTCAAGGCTGTAAATTATTAAGTAGCGATTGATTGATATAAAAGAGACACAGCCAAAGCGAGTGAGGCCGGTCAGTTGAAGCTGGAGAGAAAGCCAAGGCAAAGGGAAATGGACAAGACACAAACGCTCTCGAGAGAAGGCTCCCCAAGAGTTGAAGAAACGACTGGGTCTTGTGCTGGACTTGGCTGGGCTGGGCTGGGCTGGGGAGGTAGAGGTAGTAAGCCGAGTAGCGAGTAGAGAGGATGAGCTTGTCCCGTACCTTAGGTACTGCACTCTAGTCCCGTAGTAGCGTGCCCCAGCAAAAAAGGGAGACTCCGAAAATGGATACGGCTGATGTGATGCACTTTGTACGGAGAGCCATAGAGACCTTTAGGTACAATGCTCAAGTCCAACGTCCCATCTCGATATTGGTAGCATTCAGGACGTGGCGCATCAGGCGTGTTATGCACTTCAAAGGGGTGATTTCACTGGATGAGAGGCAAATTTTCTTTTGAACTGCGCGTGAAGTGGACGCCGCACATGAGATATTGGACACTGAAGGCCCCCCTACAAACAACAACAACAACAACAACAACAACAACAACATCCAACAGTCAACTGGCCGCTTCTATCATATTCTTCTAGCACCCGGCACTGTTCAATACTGTACAATCTGTCACTACAAATGGATCTGTCCATCCGTATCTAAACTTGGAACAACCGGCCGGACGTACCATCGCCTGTCGGGGTAAGGGGCCCGACCCGAGGGCAGGGCAGGAAACTTTGTGTTTAGTAAGGATTGGGCCTGGATTGGAGTTTAGGTGTGTGGGCCGGCTCAATACGAGGATTAGGACAAAGTGCATATCCTTCCACCTGCATTGACTATGCGTCCGGCCTGTGTGTCTCGCGATGCACAGCATGCAAAACTTCGTATGGTAGAGGATGACTGAATGGATTCATCTTGTTGAGTGTGTCTTGGTGATTTGTAAGAGGAACAAAGGCTGTGTCGTGTCGTGTCGCGATCCTTCGTTTGTGCATCCGAACCTCAGCATCAGCAGTTTCTCAGAAGTGTCATGATGTGCTTTTACATCCATGAGGGTCTGAATGACATCCTTATGTGGGTGTCACACAACCCATAATTTCTCCTCCTCTGTGGCTACACTCTCCCAGGCTCACCACCAGCATGGTCTGATCAAGACAGACGTCAACCGGATCGAGAGATCGTATTGTCCGAAGATCTTATCTGGTTGTGGTCCTAATTTCAGGAGACTATTATGAGTCATGACTATCACAGATCTACATGTAACCGCTGCTTTCCAGGCTATTCTCTCCAGCTCGATCCGCGGTTACCACAAGACAAATAATTTATAACATTTGACACGCCCGCGACCAGCCGGGCGCTCATGGCGCGCATGGTAAACGCCGTAATCCATAAAATAGTCAAGGTAGTCAGCGGTAATGTAGGCTTCAACAGGAGTTGCGCAGTGGTTCTCGTTACGGAGTAGTTCTAACGGTAATGCTCGCTGCTGACACTGACAGCCAAAGTGATCCGCAGCTAGGACAGGCTAATTCATTTGCTTTTCCTCCGCGAGTCCGCCTCATGTACATATCATCTCGCAGATCAGCCAGTCAGGATGTCTCAAGTGTTCTGACAGCGCACGCTTCCCGTCCACTCACGCTTCACAAATTTGAACGGACTCTGGTATGGATGTCACGTAAACGAGAAAAACAAATAATATTGGAAGCCTCATGATCTTATAGTCATGACGAACAAAGACAGGATGCCCTCCTTGACGGTGATTGTGCCTCCTCCATCTGACGCTCATCAATGGACTCCCGCTCCTAGAATAAATATTACAGGGAATTATTAGGGGCTAGCATCGTCGCTCACACATTCCAGAAGGTCGAGTGGTAGGATCGATCACTGGAGCGGTCTTGACCCCGGCAAAGCGACAACACTCCCCTGGTTCAGTTGACACGAGGCAAGGAGAGCCTGAAATGTTGCTGGTGGGGTTTCAAACACCCCTGAGAATACTTGAATAGAGATTGCTAATACTGTGTAGTGTTGTAACTAGGTAGTGTTCATAATCACTGGAATTACTTGTTTGTCGATGGTGTAGGGTAGGAGGTCCTGCCTGTGATGACGATTTCAAAAAGACATTGGGCACATGCTGTCTCGCCCAGGCTTTTGCTCATGTCTCGATCCCTTCAAGTTGTCTCTTGGGTATCCCCTATAAAAGTTGCCACTATGATGAAATGGAGCTGGGGTCCGCCAACATCTTCAATGATCCGAGCATCAGTCAATTGGTCATCTGGCTCTCAAGCCAAAGTTGAAGCAGAAACATGTCTCAAGCCTTGTAACGCAAAACTGGACTCTAGGGAGAGACAGAGACCACGAATCGGTATTTACACAGTACGAGACATAAAATGGAGCATCAAAGTAAACAAGCCTTTTGTACATATGACCCGCTGTGTCGTCCCTGTCTGTGCGGGCTAGTCTAGCATTGGGGATGCCATTTGAGGAACAACTGGTTGGTTACTGGGCTAGCTGGGCCGGAGTTGGCAAGGGTTTTCTTTTTTAGGGGTCTACTATGTTGACAGAGTTCGCGCCGGTCATGACGAGCTACCGTTTGTTAGTCCATATGTCCGTCTCCTGAAGGATGATGCAGTCATGAACAAAACAGCTGAACTTTTGGTCCTCCGCTGACAGACGGGAGGAATGTTTATCACAAGACATGGTCTCAGTTATAATTGTCATGGCTGACCGTTTGTGGCGTGCAATAAGCTAGATGAGTTGGACAGAGCCCCGAGCCACCACCACCCGGTCTTTTATTAAAATTGTGGCATTCGATCTCATCATGATGGTAAAATTCAATTACTTGTCCGCAAGCGCAGTTTCAGAAACCGTTAATCCCCATGTATGAGGAAATGCGCGAACTTTAATTGGCACTTGAATTCACGGCTGAGTGATTTCTAATGCAAAGATATGTCACTCATCATACTTTCAGCTGAAGTGCCGAATTGCTTCAAAGGATTCAGGCAGACTAATATTTAACATTTCGCTTCATAACTGAATGTTTCTGATCTAATGGTTGAGGTCATCATACCACATCGCTCACAGGGCTAATGCTATCTAGTACCAAGTATTGTTTATTACTGATGATGCTTGAACGTTTCACTCTCACCAAAACACTGCCAAGAGCCAGACGAGGGGAGGCGAAAACAGAGGCAAAAAAAAAAAGAGACAGAGATAGATCCAGGGGGAAGATGTTGGAGCTTTCCGGGAGTGCCGTGTGGCTATGGGCAGGGAAAAACCTCGTATGGCGTCCATTTTTAAGCCGTGGCCGTGGGACAGCACCCAAACATAGAAATTGTTCAAGGCCAAAGGGGGGCTTGCGCTATGCGAGCTGCATTAGTGGTCTTAGTGGTTTACCGTACGGACAATCCCACCTTTTCACTGTGCAGAGAGTAGAGCACTCTCTCCCTGTCGTGTACGAGGAGGAGAGGAGACTTGCATGTGGTCAACCCAGTCCAGTCCAGTCCAGTCCAGTCCATTTCAGTCAAGTCCCAAGAAAACAATCCCTTTTCCCAGCCGAGCCCAGGTTGTTTTTGTTGGTGTTAATACCTTTCCTTTACCTTGGCAAGTAGAGTTACGACTACCAGTCAAAGTCCAATCGTTCTGGTAAAGGCTTCTGTTTCCGGAGCCTGGCTCTTCTTCCCTTTTTTAATCTTTATTATTGTTTTTATTCGACGCTCGTTTTGTCTACTAGCATTCTAAACCCTCGCTCTGAGTGCCTGTTTGACTGTTGAACAACTAACCTAAACGATAATACTATACGATCGAAACTCACGACGACGATAACAACTCCTTAATAACCCAATTCGCAACAACAGCCTGTCTGCTGAAACCCAAAGCTACCGAGTCGTTATAACCTTGGAGAGCCACTCGCTGGCTGCTTGTCCATCATGGCTATGAGCCTCCCACAGCTCGGCGGCGCAGGAGGCCCTCACACTCAACCCTCTTTGCCGTCGCTGCCTGCACATCTTCAATCCGACACGCATCTCACTGCTCATCTCGCCAGTCGCTTCCATGTCTCACATCCTACCGCTCGACTGTCTTCTCACGCTCTCATCTCTCTCAACACCTATACCAACTCCTCAAAAGGTCCAGATGGTGGCAAGGAGGGTAGCGCCATGGCTGGCGCCGAGGAAATCGCTGACAGAGCCTTTCTGCGATTGGGACACAGATCCGAGAACCAAGCCGTTGTGTTTTTGTAAGTCTATGATGCTGAAAGCGTGAGAGTTGAGCCTAAAGTTTACTGATACTAATATACTTATTCAGGGGTGAATCTGGCGCTGGAAAGTCTACTATTCGAGCCCACCTCCTGACAGCTCTTCTGAACAAGTCATCAACGCCTCTGTCCACAAAGCTCTCTCTCGCCGCATATGTCTTTGATAGTCTGACAACCACCAAGACTGCGACAACACCCACTGCTTCCAAGTCCGGTCTCTTCTACGAGTTGCAGTACGATACTTCAGCCACAACAAACCCTGTCCTGATTGGTGGTAAACTCTTGGATCATCGCCTGGAGCGTAGCCGTATTGCCGATGTTCCTACAGGAGAGCGTAACTTCCACGTTCTGTACTATCTTCTTGCCGGAA